CATGGTGTAACTTGACAAATCTTTGAGGACAATTTTGTTGCAGGCCTCTGCAACATGTAAGGCCCTAGTGTGCAGAGGCCTGTTTAAGTTTTTGGAGAATACTCGTAGGGTTGTTTTTGCCTTCCGGTACACAGACCGGCAGGAGGGAGGGGGGGGGGGTTGTCATGGAGCCTCCTGTTTGTTTATATATTTTGTTTTACTAGTAGCAGTGTGATAGTGAGCTAATGTGAGTAAAGGTGATGTTGGTTGTAGTAGAGTAGATTGTTAATGTTATATTAATATATTTTTGTATAGGCGAGTTTTTGTGTCCTTTCTTATAATAAATTTAATATTGACTAATTAACATTCCACATTTAATGTGAAGGTACAAGCTGGCCCTAGAGTGGTTTCTTTTTCTATTTTAAATTATAAATGCCCTTAGACCAGGCAGGTAATTTACCCTTTAGGAGCCAGGACTTATTTATGCAGTCAAAAGCATAACATGGGGGCCTGACTGGGAGAATGTTATGCTTCTGACTGTGTAATGTAAATAAAAGTCCTGGCTCCTAAAGGGTAAACGATGTGCCTAGTCTAAGCGCATTTATATTTAAAATAGAAAAAGAAACCACTCTAGGGCCAACTTGTGCCTTCACATTAAATGTGGAATGTTAATTAGTCAATATTAAATTTATTATAAGGAAGGATACAAAAACTCCCCTATACAAAAATATAATATTAAGGTAACATATACAACTACAATCTACCACATACCAACATCACCTTTACTCACATTACCTCACTAGTACACTGCTACTAGTAATACAATATAAGCATTTATAAAAAGAGGGCTCCATGACACCCCCATCCCTACAAGTACTCTCCCAAAACCTAAACAGGACTCTGCACACTAGTTCCTTACAAGTAAACATGAGAGCACTTAAAACAATAAAATAATCTAGTGTATAAACTTAACAGGGGAACGCCTTCCACCTGTTCAAAAAAGAATGGAAAAATAAACGACTTGAGGTATAATAACGAAGATAATTTTTCAAGGCTTTTAATTAAAATTAATAATAAAAATTGGCCGTTGTGGTTCTAGTAAGATGTTGGTGCAGGAGTATGTAAAGCCCAGGATGGTCTTGTGATGTTTGAATTAATGATGTAGGTTATCCTGGGTGGTGGTCATCCGATATTCTGGAGTCTCCTGTTACTACTTGGTTGAAACACCACAAATGTGATGTTAGAAGTTAGTAGTCGTAATGTCCTACTACGTTCAGTGGACAGGTATCTTGCTCCTATATTTTGGCGTCTACCCTGGATGACCAGGCCAGCAGCAGAGTAATAATAAAAAAATGGTTACCAAAAGTTAAGCAAGTACAATATTGAAGAAAGAAAGGATGGTATTTAAGTCCAATGTCATTATTGGCAACCAGAAAAATGAAAAGCAACAAACAGAAATACTCCTGGCAGGTCACCTTACCTAATCAGGAGAAGAGTGGAGTGAAGTGACTCTCCAGACTTCAACCCACACCAGGTAAGGTTAATATTACCAGGAGTAGAAATTAAAGCACCTCAGACACCAGGAACTGGAGATTCACCTCAGTCCACTAGATGGAAGTGGGGGTTGTAACACTAATCGTTCCAGGCTTTCTGAACAACCGTAACCCCAATTGCTACCGGCTTTTCCCTCACAAGCTCACTAGCATACTGCTACTAGTGAGTAAAACAAAATATATAAACATTTATAAACAGGGGGATCCATGACACCCCCCCCCCTTCTGCCGGTCTGTCTACCAGCAGGCAAATATTTAATGCAAATATTTAATCAGTAAATCACGTGACAGCACCTCAATGCGTAAAAGCATGCATAGTCAAGAGGTTCATTTGTTCAGAACAAACACCAGATTGGGGAAGAAATGTGATCCAAATGACTTTGACCATGAAATAGTTGTTGCTGCCAGACGGGGTGGTTTGAGTATCTCAGAAACTGACTTCCTAGGATTTTCGCACACAACATTCTCTAGAGTTTACAAAGAATTGTGTGGAAAACTCAAAACATTCAGTGAGCGGCAGTTCTGTGGGCGAAAATGCCTTGTTAATTAACCATGCATTACAACAGTGGTATGGAAAAAAAAAATAACTCTGAATGCACAACACGTCGATCCTTGAAGTGGACTGGCTACAGCAGCAGAAGACGAAGCCAGTTTCTAATCCTGTCAGCCAAAAGCAGGAAACTGAGACTACATTGGGCACAGGCTCGCCAAAACTGGACAATTGAGGATCGAAAAAAAACGTCGCCTGGTCTGACGAATCGTGATTTTTGCTGCTACGTGCAGATTTTAGGGTCAGATCTGGCGCAAAACTTTTGGATGTGGTGGAACGGGAAATTCACATCGTGAATGTGTAGTCCACAAATCTGCAGCAAATGCGTGATGCTGTTATGTCATCATAGATCAGGATCTCTATGGAATGTTTACAGCATATTTTTAAATTTATGCAAGTAAGAATTCGAGCAGTTCTGGTGGCATACGGGGTATGGGCTCTTTCCAGTAATAGAAGGGTGTAATAATAAAATGGCCAGTGAGTGTAGTTCATACTGCAGATGCAGTTCTGCGTGTGTATACACACACATCTATGTGTATACACACTCACCTGAGTGCTTTCTAATATCCTAGTAGTTCTTGTTCTTATAATGCTTCCTTTCGTTTCTGTGAGTGAAAATTCTTCCCCAGTAAGCCATGCATGCCGTAGAAGGCGGCTAAAATACCGGGAGTAAGGGACTAGTAACACTTTTTCCTGTATAAATTACTAAAAAGACACAGTAGCTGGAGTGTGATCAAGGTAATGTTTTTGAAGGAATTTGGGGAAACCATTTCATGAATTTCAAAACAGAAACAATACTTTCAAGGAATTAGACTACATTACAGACGATGTTAAGAATCTGCTCTCATGGTTACCACTATCATCATCGCTCAAAACACAGGCAACTTCATAATTTCAAAAAATACTGACTAGAGACATTCTACCTAAGTAGAACACTGCTTTTACTCTGTCCACAGTGCATGCAGCACCTGACGCGACACACTACATATACTGTTTCTGGTTCTCAATATTGGATTGATAAAGCCCTTGTTAGATGAAAAGTCTATAAATGTCCTAGTACCATACATAGGTCTCTCTTGCATACAAAACGTGGGGGGGTTGGGCGGTCTCTTTCCAAACGAATTATCACACTAAAGAGGATTTTTCATTTGACTGAGAATTGTTGCTCACTCGCCCATATTTGTGCTCACTAGCATCCTCCAGCACTCTCAGTATCTGGCACATATATTTTCAACTGTGCGCTCTCAGCTTTGCTCTTTACTAAGGAAAATGTTTATTTTGAGATGTTTAGGCGAGGATTTTTATGTATGCCATAATTGCTATTTAATAAACATTCAAATTGATTCCCAAATTTATCAGCTGTTATGACTTTTGTTCTTTATTTAAATAATTTGTGCGATATTTATGCAGTTTTTTTCATATTGTGTGAGAGTATTTGCATTGAATGGTTTGTTTACTTTTAATACATAAACCAGTGAATGACCCTGTATCTTAGAATTATAAAAAATCCACAATACCTTCCTCTCTACCCATTATTAACATCTGCTTCCCAGGAGCAGCAACGCTTTTGTCATTACCACGACTCTCCACTTAAGGAGCACGTCAGTTCCTCTCTCTCTAGTATATTATTTTTTCCCTATAATCTACTATGTCCATAATTACTATCGCATTTGTTTTGTCTGTTTTCGTTAAGGTGAAGTTTAGGATCTTTCCTTAATTAGTTGTATAACTTAACAAATCTTTGAGGATAGTTGTGTTGCACAGGTCTGAGCAGAGACCTACTAATAACACCACCTACTCCCTGCCCCACTAGTGACACCACCTACTCCCTGCCCCACTAGTGACACCACCTACTCCCTGCCCCACTAGTGACACCACCTACTCCCTGCCCCACTAGACACCACCTACTCCCTGCCCACATGCCCCTACTCCTGCCCCACAGCACCATCTACTCCCTGCCCCACTATGAAAACACATACTCCTGCCCCACTAGTACACCACCTACTCCCTGCACCACTATTAACCACCTACTTCCCTGCCCATAGTGACACCACTTCCCTGCCCACTGTGACTACCACCTACTCCCTGCTCACAATTACACCACCTACTCCCTGCCCATAGTGACACCTACTCCCTGCCCACTATGACACCATCTACTCCCTGCCCCATATGATACCACCTACTCCCTGCCCCAGTAGTGACCACCTACTCCCTGCCACTATGACACCACCTACTCCCTGCCCCTAGTGAACCACCCTACTCCTGCCCACTGTGACAACCACCTACTCCCTAGCTCATATGACACCACCTACTCCCTGCCCATATGAACCACCTACTCCCTGCCTCACTATGACCACCTACTCCCTAGCTCCCATAATGACCACCTACTCCCTGCCCATTAACAGCACCACCTACTCCCTGCCCACTAACACCACACTCTCTTCCCACTAATAACACACCTACTCCCTAGCCCATAATACGACTACTCCTAGCTCATAATACACTACTCCTAGCTCATATCCCCTCCCCTAGCATTAATACACCTTACTTCCCTAGCTCATTAATACACCTACTCCCATGCTCATTAATACCACCTACTCCCTAGCTCATTAATACCACCTACTCCCTAGCTCATTAATACCACCCACTCCGTAGCTCATTAATACCACCCACTCCGTAGCTCATTAATACCACCCACTCCCTAGCTCATTAATACCACCTACTCCCTAGCTTATTAATACCACCTACTCCCTAGCCCATTAATACCACATACTCCCTAGCCCACCACCACCACCGACTCCCTATCCCACTAATAACACCACCTACTCCCCAGCCCACTAGTGACAAATACTGTGCCCAACTAATAACTCTGCTGCATCCCCTCCCCCGCACTAATAACATTTGTGTTGTTTTTACAGGAGCACTAACGACAGTGTACGCCTCTGTGTCGTGCCTCAGCACTGCTTGGATATGGAGAGTGCTGGCCATCTACTGCTTCGTCTCCCTCTGGTGTTTATACAAGGTACTTGCTCCTGGTATATACTCTGTGATACTGCATCCCACTTTGGTATACTGTGGTACAACATACCACCCTGGTATATAATCTGTGGCACTACATACCACTGTTATAATTTTTATGGTACAGTATATCACCCTGGTATATATTCTGTGGTATTGCATTCCAGCGTGTTGTACTCTGTGGTACAGCATATATCTCTGGTGTATTATATGGTTTAGGAAAACACGTAAGCAAACACTAGGGCATATTTATTAGAAAACGTTTCGGTTCTGGGAGCCTGTTCACTTCTAATATACCGAGGTTGAAAGACATATATATAGGCGGAGAGTGAGGTGTGAGTGACGCATGGTGACCTGAAGAATGCCATGTTGGGATGAGGACGGGTAGACGATGGGATCATGTGACTCTTGTGTTGCTGGGTAGGTGGTGCCATTCCTGGTTGAGTGTCATGTATGCTAAAGTTTTAAAAATTTTGTGGTTTCCAGTGTTACGTTCTATTGTGGCGGTGACGGCGATTAGCGAGGCTTCTAAGGTCTGGTTCGGTGAGAACGAATTGTGCCTCATCCCAGTTCATCAAATGCCCCGTACCTTAAATCGTCTCTGTTACTTGCACTTCGATGCTCGTTCAGGCAGACCGCAAGATATCTGCCTGTTTCGCCTACATATTTCTTGGGACAGAATCCACAGGAGATGGTGCAGACGCCTGCTGTGGAAGTTAGAGGTGTGGAGCTGCGTTTCGTAGTGAGGTCTTTGATGTGTTGTTTATGTAAGAAACATTTATGTTACTCTTAGCAAGTGTCTGGCGAGTATTCGTGGCAATATCACCACATGGGAGCACTATGAACTGCTTAGAAGGCTGTTCCATGGGCGGTTTGTTGAGGATAGCTTGTGCCTTGAGTCTGCAATCTTGGATGAAGAAAGATGGAAAGTGAAGACCTGTCAAGGCTTGTGTTATGTAAGTACATTCTTCTTCAAGAAGAAAAGGGCTGGAGATGCGAAGAGCTCTCAAGAAGAAGCCAATGAGGGCTCCTCTTTCAGTGCGGGTGTCTTGGTGTGAACAGAAGTGTATAAGATCGTCCTTGTTGGCAGGTTTTCAATATCCAGGCCCTCCTCAGCAAGGTCAGTGCAGCCGAACAATCCATCAAGTTTACACTTGAACTCGAAAAGGATGGCAAACTTCCTTTCCTTGACGTCCTCCTGTGCAGATCTCCCATCAGTGACAAACTTCTCTTCAAAGTGTATAGAAAACCTACCAACAAGGACGATCTTATACACTTCTGTTCGCACCAAGACACCCGCACTAAAAGAGGAGTCCTCATTGGCTTCTTCTTGAGAGCTCTTCGCATCTCCAGCCCTTGTTTTCTTGAAGAATGTATTTACATAACATAAACCTTTACACGTCTTCAGTTTCCATCTTTTTTCATACGAGACTGCAGACTCGAGGCACAAGCTATCAACAAGCCGCCCATGGAACAGCCCTCTAAGCAGTTCTAAGTGCTCCCATGTGGTGATATTGCCGCGAATACTCGCCGGACACTTGCTAAGAGTAACATAAATGTTTCCACCATAAACACATCATCTATGAAAGACTTCACTAAAAAATGCAGCCCCACACCTCTAACTTCCACAGCAGGCGTCTTCACCATCCTCTGTGGATTCTGTCCCAAGAAATATGTAGGCGAAAGAGGCAGAGATCTTTCGGTCCGCTTGAACGAGCATCGAAGTGCCAGTAACAGAGACGATTTAAGGAACGCTTGTGTCCTCCTCAGATTCCACGGGGCATTTGATGAACTGGGATGAGGCACAACTCGTTCTCACCGAACCAGACCTCAGACCCCTTTCGGTGCCTAGAAGCCTCGCTAATCGCCGTCACCGACACAATGGAACACAACACTGGAAACCACAAAATTTCTAAAACATTAGCATACATGATACTCAACCAGGCAAAGCAACACAGGAGTCACATGATCCCATCGTCTACCCGTCCTCATCCCAATATGGCATTCTTCAGGTCACCATGCGTCACTCACACCTCACTCTCTGCCTGTTTATATTGTCTTTCAACCTCGGTATGTTAGAAGTGATCAAGGTCCAGGACCGAAACGTTTTTTAATAAATATGTCCTAGTGTTTGCTTATGTTTTTCTAAACCAACTCGTCAGTATTTATCACCAAGGTTTATACCATTATTTGGTACAGCATACCACTCTGATATATTCTGTGTTACAGCATATCGTCATGATATACTCAGTGGTACAGTATTCCACCCAGGTATGCTGTATGGTACAGCATATCATCCTGGTATGCTCTGTGGTGCAACATACCACCCTGGTATACTCGATAATACACCATACCTGTCTGGTCTACTGTACGATACAAAATGTCTCCCTGATATTTTGTATTATAGTACAACATATCTCCCTAGTATACTCTGGTAAATCATACTGCCTAATATACTCTATTGCAAGACACCTGCCTGGTATACTCTGTGGTTAAGTACGTCTCCCTGATATGCTGTATTATACAACATACCTTCATGGTATACTTTTAAGGTACATCATGCCTGCCCAGTATATTGTAAAAGGTGCATTGTACCTTCCTGGTATACCCTATGTTTAGGATATATAGTGCCTTCTTAATATACTTTGTTGTGCATCATTTCTGCCTAGTATACTGCGGTGCACTCTGTATACGGTATATCATACTTCTCTAGGATCGTGTCCTGCAAAACACTTCCCTGTTATACTCTAAGATATTTCATACTTGGGTATATCACAATTCTCTAGCACACTCCTTAAGGTATATCATGCAATACTTATATACTAAGTAGGTAATATCGTACCACCTCAGTATACTGAGATACATCTTGTCTTCATAGTATACTTTGGTGTATCATAGTCAGATCTCCCTAGTATACTCTGGTGTATCATATCTTCGTAAAATAATCTTTATGGCATATCATTCGTCCCTAGTATTCTATGGTATCATATACTATCATCACTCCCTAGATCTATGGGTATATTTCACCTCCCTGTTGTATGCTTTAGGGTATACTTTGCCTTTTTAGCATACTCTATGCTTTAGATTACCTACTATCACATGGTTCGGTACATCATACCTCCCTAGTTATGGTTTTTAGGATACTCTCTAGGGTATTGGTTCTCAAACTGGGGGTCCGTGACTCCCTAGGGGGTCACGGTAAGTTTTAGAGGAGCCGCAGCTGGCTATATAGATGAAGAATTAAACACATGTACAACGTCTGGGTATCTTTATTTGTAGACGTTTCGCCATCCAGTAGCTTTATCAATACAATACAAGGACATAATCTAATTGTAGAAATATATACAGAAGACACTGGAGCCGGATGAGATGCAGCAGACGAAGGTATTGTCTCTGGTAGGTTGCACCTCATCTAACACCAGTATATAAACGCCAGTCTTCCTGCCTATGCTTCACATACTTCAAGATTACGGTGCTCATCACCACTTCCTAGGCTGAGGGACTGATTAACTCGCCTTTCACTGTCTTTTGTATATATTTATAAAGTCTTCAGATTATGTCCACGTATTGTATCGATAAAGCCACTGGATGGCGAAACGTCTACAAATAAAGATACTCAGATGTTGCACACGTGTCTAAATTTTCATCTTGTCTGTATTGTATATCATTAATATGGCTGTATCGAATATGGCTATATAAGAACATAAGAAAGAAGGAGCACTGCAAGAGGTCTACTGGCACATGCATGGCAGATCCAATTCTCCCACCGGCTTAAGCCAATGCCTTGACCTAGTCAGGTCCGTCTCATTCACTTATGGGAGGAGCACGGCATCTTAACTAGTAGCACAAGCTAGTCATGTCCAACTCACACCCACCCACACCCACTTATGTGTTTATCTAACCTATTTTTAAAACTACACAATGTCTTAGCTTCTATGACGGTACTCGAGAGTTTGTTCCACTCATCCACAACTCTATTACAAAACCAGTGCTCTCCTATATCCTTCCTGAATCTGAATTTTTTCCAATTTAAAACCATCGCTACGAGCCCTGTCTATTCCTGATATTTCAGCACGCTATTTACATCCCCTTTATTAATTCCTGTTTTCCATTTAAATACCTCAATAAATTTTTTCCCTAATTCTACGCCTTTCTAGAGAGTGCAGATTCAGGGCCCTCAGTCTGTCCTCATAGGGAAGATTTCTGATACATGGGATCAACTTCATCCTCCTTTGTACGCTTTCCAGTACATTTATTTCCATTCTGTAATACGGTTACCAAAACTGTGCAGCATAATCTAGATGAGGCCTCACCAAAGATATATAGAGTTGAAGAATAACCTGAGGATTTCTATTATTTATGTTTCTTGATATGAAGCCAAGTATTCTGTTAGCTTTATTGCGAACACTTATATACTGTTGTTTTGGTTTCAGATTACTGCTAACTAGAACTCCTAAATCCTTTTCCCACCAGTAACAGCCCAAGTGATTCATTTACTCTTGTTCCTTCCACTTTCAGTAGATGTCACGCACCGTGAGGGTTTTGTGTGTGAATGTGTTGACGGCAGGAAATTCGTATGAAGAGAGTCCTGATGTTGTTCTTTGAACGTGTGGTCCTGATAACACAGAAGACGTGTGAATTGACAGCAGGGTGTAATGCAAGGAGATGGGGACGGGGGGTTGCAAACAGCTATGGGAAGGCGTGTGTGTGGGGGTTGCTATGTAGTAAGTCACTTTCATCTAAGAAACCATCTACACAGCTCTGAAGGTGACATTAAGACTGTTATATCTGGTGAAAGCGCTGGACTCGTAGAGGTCATTCAGTGCCTGGGAATGGGAGGCAATCAGGCTCGATGCAAGGGGGATGAGAGGTCCAGTTCCTTGAATCAAGAGCCCTTCACCGTCATTAAGGCACCTTCCCTGAGGGGCTGTGTTAAAGGAGAGCAGAGGGAACAGAGGCCCCGGATAACACTGCTCGTATGGTTAGTTGTTATTGGAAGTTTAA